GGCGTACATTCTCGCAGTCCCTTGTGGGGATCGAACCCATGACGGCCGCCGTGCGAGTCGCACGCTAAACCAAAAACACCAATCCATAGCTATGGCACATAGGCCAAAAGCCGCAGTACACGTACGCACGCATGCACGCACGCAACAAGCGCTTGGCACAGTGTATCACATAGTTTGAAGGAATCATGGGCAAAGCTGATCTTCATAAAGCATATATTCCCAATTCCTTAATAAGAATCAGAACCAGAAATCAGTGTGGGGTTAAGAATTCTTTTCGGATAAACTCTTAGCAGACCCAAACGTTTGCACAACACCGTTTATGTGTGGTAAGCGTTAACCCGGGCGGGGGATTGATTTCTAAGTCGTTTGAACAGTCAAATCGGTAAGTTAGAGTTGGCTATTGATGAGAGGCTAACTGAACAAAAGGAATAGTAAAACATCAAAGAGTAAACCAAAGTAAGTAGCACAGATAACAATCAGGCAACTCGGTAACCGCTTGTTGGCCGTGGTATTAGCATCAGCCGTATGAATCGCTTTTATGGGACGATGAGAGACCCAGAAAAGAATCCTTAGACATGTACTAATTTTCGATCATGATTCTTGTTAATCCTATAGTTATCAATTTACTGTGTTTCATTGTTCGAGTACAAGCGTTCTGTTTCATTAACAACCCATTGGTGATGTTAGGGAAAGGAAATTACCACTGGAGCTTCAAAGGCACCCGGTACGAGGCTATAGACTTGCGACACGGTGCGTTGTGTTTCATGGAATTGCTCAGACCAACAGCACGAAAGCTGCGTTAAGAACCTCGGTGTTGAACGTGCGCGTTGCACGCTATCGGATGAAAACCTGCTGTGCATCTGAGTAGTTTGTTAAAATCGGCGAATTTTTATTTTATGTACAGGGGCAAATAACTTTCACAACTATGGATTAATTGACGCACAAATCAAAGGAACGTACAACAGGTGTTAAGCCAAGGTAGAAGTAATGGACGTACAAAGTATTTTTGAATGCACAACTCCGGCTTAAGGTGGCGGATATAAATGGCTTCGGCAATAGATAAGAGATGCTTCCGGAATCCGCGCGAGAAACATTTAGGGATAGTATAAATGACACTGAAGTCGTTTTCCGTCCTTGTGTGACCGCATAACTCATTAAGAAGGCACAGCAACAAAGTCGCGATGTATATACTTAATGTGCACGACACATTTATACTCTTGCAAATCGAAAGCGCAGGCTGTGAAGACGTTAGAACCCTTTAACGATGGGCATCAGAACCTACAATTCACTTGTGAGCACGAGTCTGGAAACCGACTACCGTTCCTGGACGTTGATATCATCAGAAACACCGATGGATCGCGCAGCGGAGCAGTGCACAGAAAAGCAACTCGGACAGTACATCAACTATAGTACGGTACCACTGCAGCACAAACGAAATTTAGTCCGTACTCTTGCCAACCGGGCACACAGAATTTGCACACCAGACACCATCACCAAGAAAGTGCAGAGACTAAGTGACGCCTTAAAAGGGAATGGGTATCGAAATAAATTCATCCTCAAACATTTGAAAGAACGCAAGGTAAAACCAGGGAGGATAAATATACCCAAGAAAGAACAAATTGTACATTTTTCTTCAAAGGTGACAACACCAGTTAATGTCCTACCCGAACGCTTGTACCAAGCTGTTGAAAAGACATATTTCGCGGCTGGCCTACTCATAGTATAATACAACAAACCTTTATTCGTCATGCCTTTGAAAGACAGGCTGCCTTCGGTGACTAGATCACTGCTTGTCTATCAGCACTCGTGCTCCTGCGGGGCACGATATGTGGGTCGAACTATGAGGCACCTATCTCATAGGATTCGCGAACACATTCCGAAGTGAATTTAGAGCCGAAGAGAGGTCTTGTAACAGCTCTACATTCTCGCATCTCTTAGAGTGCGGTCACGCAGGGGGGGAAAACGACTTCAGCATCATTTATACTCTCAGTGAGCGTTTCTGGCACAGATACCGAGAGCACCTCATAACTATAGCGGAAGCAATCCATATCTGCCACATCGAGCCGGAGTTGTGCGTACAAAAACAGTTTGAACCTCCTTTACTTCCACCATGGCTTATAACTTTGTTGTACGTTCCTTTGAGTTGTGCCCCAGTTAAACTATATTTTTAAAAGTAATTTTCCTCTGTACATAATATGCCAACTTCAATGACCCAGTAAATTGTAGTTTATCCCATTTTACAAACACCCGACTTTTCGACCATTTTCCTTTTCGATGGAGATTCGTCACAGCTATACTCAGACAGTCACTACACATTCGGAAAAGCAGTAGAAGCTCGTCTCAACCTTCCAGGAATCGTCGGCATTGCATATTTAATACAATAACAGTAATAATAATACTAGGTATAATTCTCTTCACGTGCGAAGTTGCGCCCATATTCGGCACAGCTTATGGGCGACATGCATTTTTGTTTCTGGCAATGTATATGCCCTACAAGATTGTGTTTTATGAGAAGGTGGAAGGCACTGGTTCAATTCGAAGATATTGTAAGCACTGAGAATTACTTACATGGCGTAAAATATTGTATTTACCCATCAGACAACTGGATCTTCAATACAAAGATCAGCAGCTGATCACCCCGGAACAACATGTACTCGTGTCCAGGTCGAGGAAGCCTCTCAACCTCATCATTATCATCATCAGCAACACATCTCAGCTGAGTGCACAAGCTGAACGACTTGATTGTGATTGGGAGCCGATTCCACAGAGCATAATGTCTGATTGGAAACAAGTTGGACCGCACATTTTTCTTGCATTGGGGTATAACCAGGGTAGTGTCTTTGTTACGAAGGTCCCCAGTGGACTTGTGCTGCAATGTTATGTGGGCAGATCGTAATATGTATTCTACCCGTGATCAACGAATTTCGACGATTTCTCAGTGGATTATGCTGGGTGGGATATAAAGGTGAATTCCACTTTGAAACAAAACCTACAAAGTTACCATTGATAGAGCTCCAAAGGCAACGTGCGTGCCAACACACACACCCATATATATATATATATATATATATATATATATATATATATATAGTGCATGCCGGAATAGAGTTCCCACCATACATGGATTATTTATGGTAAGCATATCACGTCCTGATGTTCATTTAAGCTGTTGGGAATCTAAAGCGGTTGATCGGTATGGCGCGAGCTGATTACGAAGGCCGTTCCCGAGGTGCAAGAGAAAGCCCTCGTGCATGCAGAGAAAAAGCGGCAGTTGCGGAAGCGACAGGCGCCGATGGGGTGTACTCCATCGACGTCGAGCGCAGTGTGCTGTAGCACGTGGGGTCGCGAGTTCCTGAGTCAGGCAGACCTAGTAAGCCAAGAGCGAGCCCACTCGGGACCAGCATCGTAACGACGACGGGTCCTGCTGAGAACGTGAGCAGAACCGGCGCAGCTTTGGTAGGTACGCTGCATTCCATTTACTAACCGTGTTGTTGCGTGCTGAGTTTACTTATTTCAGATAATGGGTTTGTTATTGTGTCTCAATGCATTTTCTTTGCCTCATCTTAACTTTTGTCTGAACTTTCTTACGTTGCCTAAGCTGATTGTGGTTAAGTTTGCTAACATTTTCGCGTTTGTGGCATTTTTAAAGTATACTTTCTGACATCTTGCACTTAGCGCGGATTTGTTGATGGCCAACATATTACGCATGCTACGTTAGTGAAGGGTTAAATCGGTATATCCGTATGCTTTATTCGATATATATTATTTGTTATTCTCATTTCAAGTGACTGACTGTTGTTTGATATCTCCGGTGTGAATGCGCTTGATGTGCATGTTGACAAGTTGCCTACTGTCTAATACCCACTACCTCGTCTATACTGGCTCAGGAGACAGTTGGTCGTTGCTGGAGGAGACGGGGTGCACGGGTTTGTATCCGCGGTAGGCTCGATAGTGGTTCTATGCACTAAGTTCGGAGTGGACTAAAAGTCCGTCCACCACTTTGTGTGTGTTTATTTCCTCAAATACAGCGTGTCTGTATTTGTCAGTGAAGGAGTGTGTGTCGGCTCCGTTGATGGAACGTGGCTCCCATCCACATGCCTCCCGGTCTTATTTATTCGGGTTTACACTGGATATCGGGTGTGTGGATGGTGTTGTAAGTGGTGCAGCGAAAACCACCCATGGTCCATCTGTAGGCGCAGGCTTCCTGTGGCTGTCCCCGTGGAGGCCACAGTGACTGGCACATCCGGAACCTGATGCCGTCAACCAACACTAATGTAATGATATCTTTATTTCGCCGTTCTGTCAGGTGCATGCACATTGCTGAGAATATCATGATCTTCCAGTTGTAGCTGGTGTCTGCCGCCAGGGTAGACAATAAGTAGCGAGATCAGTGGGAGCGTTCAAGTCTTAGAGGCCAGGCCCTGGTTGTAGGAGATACGGTTTAGGACTATGAAACCACCATTTCAAAGAGCATGTGTCTGATGATACTCCAACCCAAACAAGGCAGGGAACGTTCCCTTTCAAACTTTGAGATCAAATATTGAGGATGGATCTGCAATCAATCGGAATGCCTGTAGCTCGAGCTGCCTGGTTAAGTTTTGATTGGTTCTCTGAGCTGGGCGATTTTGTTGCAGACATTTCGTTACTTGTTAAGGTGACATCTTCAGTGGTTCACTGCGCAGCGAGCAATTTTGCTGAGGAATGACTCGTCATACGAAAGGAACGGCTGTTGACTACTGCCTTCAATGTGCATGATGATCGAGAAGAGTTGTGACGAGTTTACAATGGACCTTCTCAAAACGCCTACCATTCTTCTGGCGAAAGAAGTGCTAACAACGGGAGATATATGTTGACAGGCCTTGCATATCTGCAGTTCAATCTAAATAGTATTGAAACACTGCCCTTAAACCCCTGATATGTGACTACTGTTGAGGTTCTGTCCAAGTTCAATTGATTAGCGTAGTGATTTGCTCAGTTGTAAGCCTTAACAATTGACGTACCTCAACAGATTGCATGACGTTCTTGTAACGATCCCCCAATCGTCCCAGTTGCTCCGGTATCTGACAGTCCGGTGCCAGTTCTTTCACCTCCAGAGCAATTTTCATGCAAACGTCTAGCTCTTGCTTCCTGTCCAAACAATCTTGTAGGAACTTCTGTGGAAAGAAGACCACTGGGATCGGATAAGAGTAAAAACGCGAAGCTAAAGAAGTCGAAAGGCAGCATACAGAAGAAGTCTACCCTCAAATGCAATCAATTAGATGACCGATGCTTAGGTTCGGTAGTAAGGATGGCGTATAGCAATAAAGAAAGGAATACGTGTAGAGAGAATGAGTAGTTGCGACTAACCTCGAAGCTCAAGACAACCTGGCTTTTCTCACTGGCACAAGTTACGCGCTGATGTGACACTGCAAATGCGGTATTGTGCATGTTTCCGATGAACGAACTCAACCGGTCCATTCGGTCTTGACATTCGCGCCAAAGTCGAACTAACCCGTCAAACTTTGTCATTGTGTTGTATTGCAGCTCATTCACGGAAGCAAACTCTCTTTGCAGTACTTCCACGCAGCTTTGGACAAGTGTGCTTAGATGGTTTCGCGAGACGACGTTGGGAGCTGGCTGGTCTGAATATGCACCTGCTTCCACGCTTCGCAAGTTGGTGACTAACTGTTGACCAACTTCCGTAACTCTTGTGATCAGCTGTCGTCCACGGTCCTCTATTGAAGCACCAAGGCGATTAGCGGTAGAGAGACATTGTTCGGCATCGGATAATGAAATCAGTTGGCGGGTTAGCAGAACTATTTCCATGTGCTCCAGTTCTCTGGATTGAAAAGCTTCATCAGAAGAATCCAACAGAGTGTCAATGGCCACCGCATTCTTCAATACATCGGAACAGCCCAGTTGATGCTCCACCCCTTGGAGCCATTCAGTGCAAGCTCTCACGGATTGCTGAAACAGACGCACGATGCGAAAACGGTTTTCTAGATCCTCACGGCATATGTCTATGCGTTCAACTAATCGCGTGGACCGGTCTCTCAAAACGCTATGGTTTGCTTCCCGGGAGTCATCCATACGATTAATTTTCGTCTCGTAACCCATTAGATTAGACCTCAATTCGATGAGAGCATCAATGGCGACCGCGGATTGCCTGCCCAAAAATGAAAGTGCCTTCCACAGTTCCGCGAAACTATCAGACATGGATGACGCGTCTACTTCGGGAAATGCATGTTGGCAAATGGTGAGTAACTGGGCTTCCGTCGCATTCAGCCATGAATCCACATTTTGTTGAGCGATGTTCTGCTGGGTTATTTCAGACAGGACTTGCTCGACTTGAGAGCGTACTTCTATCAGGCGTCTAGCCAGCGCAGCATGTTCCGCATATGCGTAAGTGGTTACTTCTACCGGACGTCCCAACGGTGAACTGTCTCCGCTTTCTCGTACAACTGCTGCCCTACTTATCCTGGATACAAGTGGCTCTAGTGTGCGCAATTCGATAATCCTTTGTCTCTCCTGCAATGTTAATTCCGAAACCATGCGGTTCGCCCAATCTGAGACACCCTGAACTAGGTTACGTCCAACCTCACTCTTATTGGTGAGCTCGATGACGCGTGACCACAACGGATGAGCGTGTCGAGATTTTACCACGTGAACAAACTCCTCCGATTGTGGAGAGTTTAGATGAACCATCTGATTTTCTAACGTACTGAGCTCAGTTTTCATGTCCTCTGCCCAATGAACGTACGACGCAAATGTCGACAAAGTTTGCTCTACAGTCTGTAAAGCTGTTTGGTTCAGCTGACTCCATCGATCGCATAGGCTCAGCAGTGCGTGGTATCGTTGTGCAAACTGTGTAGCCCGCGACACAGCCAATGCACCGGAAAAGGACACGTTTAAACCAGACGAGATGGTATGCATTGTCGGAGGGGCCTTTGGAGTTGGATGTGCTAAACTCGATAGTTTCTTTTCAACTAAAGCGCGGGCCTGAACAACAAGCTCCTGTACATCTGACTGTCGACTAAGCAGGGACGTGTGAAAATGATCACTTGTAGAGGCGTAGGTTGTCACTCGATCCCTAATGGACTGGACATCATTGATATGGTTGAACTCAATGGCTCCCGATGGTGTTCCTATCAGCTCGTCACGCATTGTTTCAACAACGGAAGATTCTGATGAGCTCAGCCAAGCAGCTACTTCATCGAAAGTCTCGGAAAAACGGGACCAATCGCTGACCCAAGAGTAAAGCTGAGTAAGAAGATCACCAAAGTAAGTACCGAGACGTTCGATGCAACGCCCCAGTGGGTTTACCAATGAAGTAGGTGAGTCCACACCAGGTGCATCCTGGATGTGATTAGCCTTGATGATTAGTGTATTGGCAGCTTCTTTCAGCGCAGTCAGCAACTCATCTGATGCACGAAGAGACTCATTCTTAAGTTCAACAAGTTTTGTAAGGGTTGCCTGCAACTTTTTTATAACATTTTCATTGACTTGGTTGTCTTCTGGTTCTTGGGTACGCGTCCGAGTAGCGTAATCCATTTCCGATACCAGTTGCACTGCTTGCTGGTGACTTTCAGCAATCACCTGATATAGTTGATGGCTCAATCGGACGAAGTTCACACTCAAATTGTATAAGGACTGTGAGTCCGATAGCAGTGTACTGAGACGAGACTCTACCTCGCTCAGGTTGGCACGTAACTTGTTTAGGTGCTCGAGTGCCGAAGTTGGCAATTCCGCTGTGTCCATATCACATGATCTGGTTACCAGTCTCTTCAGACGAGTATGCACTGATTCCTCTGTTGCTAGATGACTACTGACCAAAGTGTCAATATGTTGCATATCTGCCTGCGAATATTGTTGAACCTCATCAAGAAATGTCTCGAGCGTGTGAATCTTTGGGCTAAACCAAGAGTTTAACTCCATTAGTGCTATCTCTTCTGATATGCCAACGCAAGGATCTTTGATTCTAGAGAATAATTCGGAAAGGTGGGATAGCATATCCTGACTGATAACATTCACCTGTAAACTCATTGATCGAATCCACCTATCAGACTGTTCTAAAGCAGTGTTCAACTTGGTCTGAGACATCAATTCGTCGCACAGCTCTGCACGAATAACCTGCAATCGCCTCCGATGAGCATCCCAACGGTGGTATTGACGCGCCATAACCGCACTCAGTGTCTTAACCTGAGGTGATTGGAAGAACAATGCTTTGCTTCTTATCGCTTGGTTCCCGGAATGAGGGACGATATTCAGCATCAGATTCTGCACAGTCACTTCCATTTCCTCTCGTATTATCTTCCCATTGCTCAGCAGGTTACCTTCCAATCTCTCTAACTCATCCATACAGAGAACAATGTTTGTGTAGCAAGTTTGGGGATAATCTTCATCTATAAATCTCGGTGCTCTGCCGCTCAAAATATTATCCGCTGCCACCTCTTCCGAAGACAACCAGTCTCCCCACTTTTGTAAGTTTACGTGAAACTTCCTCCATGCCACGAGTTCTTGAGTGAGTTGACTTTGCAGCGTGCGTGTCCTGCTGACAAGTAAATTGTGCTTCACTTTAATAGACATTATACGTTGATTGACGTCTAGATAAGCTCGACCGGTGCCCTGTGCAAGTCGAGACCCAAATAGCTCAAGCTCCTGTAACTGTTTCATCCTTTTGACATCGGATGGTATTACTCGATTCACCAAAATGGCTTCTCTTTCTTCGCATCTATTAATTGTGGTCTCTATCCATAACAACGGCTGATCTAGAGGCATTGATTCGTAAGTTTCTTGGAGAGTGACAGCTGAGTCTAAATCATCTTCCGCATCACGTAACGTCTGACTCAGTTCATCATATAGGCGGTCTACAATCTCTAACAGGGTGTTTTCGTCCAGATACTGCTTCAAGCGGTTACTATTTGCTTTAGCCAACTGAAGTGTGCCATGAAGCAGGATCTCTACAGCCCAGTGGCATGTGCGTTTTGGATGTCCCATCTCCGCCTCCACCAATTCAAAGCTGTCCACTGCAGAGGCTTGAGTAGTCAGATTTTCAAGATGTTCTAGGAAGGCATTCTGGGTGCCATCGGTACGAGTTAAGCCTTTCGTCAAACGTTCCAGTATTTCAACCGAACCAAGCTGCTCCTCTAAGTTATGAAGCGCATCGACCTGAGTACCACATAATTGCGTTTGCCGGTCCTTGATAGAGGAGTTTTCTGGGGCAAGTACAACTCGGTCAAATTCGTTTTGAAAGTGCAACAATTGTTTCCAACACTCACTGTATGTGTGGGAAAATTGCTGCAGTATTGTACAATAACGTTTCGTCGAGTCCGATAACGCAATCGCCGAAGCACGCAAGTTGAAGAAGCGTTCGGATACTCGATCGAAGTGAACGCGAGTTGCGCCGTTCGGGTCGCAAGTCAAATGGCCAGATAAATCGTCCAGCGCTAATCGGGTTCGATCAAGCTGTGTGCTCTCCTCATCAATGGTCTCGGTAAACAGGTGTACACGTTCGCCAAATGAATACGTTTCTGACAAGCGTTCATTAAGCTCAAAAACAAGAGACATGCCGATTCGGTGACCGTCCATACGTCTGGGCGTCACTGCTTCAAGTAACTGAGCATCGACATCATTCAAATCAATTGACGCTCTCAGTTCAACTGGCCATGGAGTCGTACGAATCATTCGGTCCAGTTCTGTTTCACTGGCCATGATCCATTTATCAAAAGCCTCCAAGTGAGTGAGCAGCCTCGACCATGCACTCTGATGACGAGAGAGCTTCGTGCGAAGGAGGTCCAGCGGCGATCGTAGCGCTTCCCACGAATGCTGGCATTGTGACAACTTCTCGTGCACTTCCTGGCGCCCAACATCGCCTAAGAAGATGACCAACTGGCTGGACTTGGAGCGTACATCGGCTAGTTGCTGTGTCAGTTTGTTACGGTCAGCTGATATTGACTCAAGACTCGCCAGTACATCATCAATGGTTTGAGTGCTTTGTTTGGCATCCATATCACTAGCGTTTAACTGAATTTGGATTTCATCAGTCCTCTGCTCAAGCGAAAGCAGCGAATGTTCCAGCTCATGCATCGTGCAGCACCAAACATCGAAAGCATCGTTTCGAGCGCTCCATAGAAAGATGAGTTCCTTCGCTTGTTTCTTAAGATGACTGACGCGAGCTTTGGATTCCAGTAGTTGAGTTTTTGTGATTGTGAGTGCATTCATATTTTCTCCATTTTCGCCACGGGAATTATCATTCTCGGCTTCTGGTAACTGCGTAAGGAGTTTGAAGCAGGCTTCAATTTCAAACAACTTTTGAGATATTTCCCAAGCTAACTCAACGGTTGAAGTTTCTTCCGAGGTGACAAGGGGTAACTCAGTATGGGTATCTTTTACATTCAGTGCCTCCAGTACTACGCGCATCGACTCAACCAGCTCCATCAATTCATTCTTTGTATTCACGCTAGACGTCGACTTTGTCTTGAACCAATGTTCCAAGCGAAGAATTAAATGTTCCCATTGATCACGAACAGATTCGAAACTCTGCCATGCATCTACCGCAGCGGACAACTGAGAGACCGCTTCGGTGATTTCATTCTGCACACTCAGCCAGCGATCGCGAATCTCGATTGCCCTCAGAAGGATAGCGGCGCGAAATGAGCGTCGGCTAGACTTGTCACTTTCGGTAGCGAGTTCAACGTGACAGTTCAGACACCGCTGAACATATGCCATCATCTCCTGAAGACGACTGTCTGCATCTGGTTGGATTGACTCCAGATCCTGAACGAAAAAGGTAAGATGCAAAAATAGAAAGTTAAAAATGAAGCCACACAAGAAGTGCAAGAGGTGACAACAAGAAGTGCGGGGCACAAGGAAGTCCGTGTGATCGGCGGTGGCCTAACCTTACCAACCAACAGCACAGAACTGTGTGTGCAAGTAATGATACGATTGAAAACACTGATGGGTCTCACAAGAATATGCATTCACATTTCTACCATAGGAAATGAAGTGATTCGTGAGCAACACTCACGAACATGCAACAGACACAAGGTTCGAGTACAAACGAAGAGCAAAACATGATATCGATGCTGGTGTACAATCAATAGGGTGAATCCCGTAAAATCAACTGTCATCCAAGCAACACAGGGGTAGTACTAGACGGAATTTTTCCCTGCTGTTTCCCTAATTGTGTCTTGCTGGAGAAACTCTACGGACTGCGTCCTCAGGCACCCTGGGTTGGAGTAAGCCGCAGCTCGTTTTAACCACTGCCAAACACATCACTGACCTAACATCAGCAAGTTCTGCCAAGCAATGCAGGACATCCACCGCCTCTCTTAGGGGGAATATGCAGACGACACAAGCCCGTACCATACGGATGATGTCAAACCTGATAGAGAAAAGAAAAACTTGTATGGAATAGGCTGAAGCACATGCTGGACGCGGTTTCAGTTACACGGCCATACTTCGTGATCAGAACACGTATTGCTATGTATGCAACCAGTGCCTGTTGCCACAAACAGATTAGTTTGTGAAACGTTTTCGCTCTTCTCAAGTAGTCAACAACATCAGATAGTTTAGCAGAAACATGTGGTTTAGACAGTCAACAGAAAATTAATCCAGCTGACTCCAATCGAACACTTAAACCAGTGCCCCTGATTCACCACTTAGGTAACACGGGTCGAACAATATCTGGTTAATAAATTCAACGAAATCTCTACAATCTCTGCTAGGGTTGAGTTCGCTATCCTCACCCGTCCCATCCTCCAATATCGTACCATCCCTTATAGGCGAATGAGGAAAGGCGTTAGAAAAGATTTAAGGTAGCCACAACATCGGTCACAAATCTTTATTCGTTAAGAATTCTGCCCAAACCTATTCAGAGCTTGTAAAAGACTCTGAATTGTATCACTTGAGTTACGAAGATTAAAGGATAACTTAAGCTAGATGCTATCTGTTACCACATAATGTCTACTCCGAGTTGCTTACACAACACTGCAGTGTTCAGCAACTCAAGAACTCCGCATGACGGTTATACACCAGTTGACCAGGACAAATGTGTCTTTTAATTTCTTTCGAAGCAGGCATGTCGTCCTGTGTGACCGATTACCAATTACATCCAAGTCATGTGACAGTGCTGTACTATCTCCTAATGAACTTAAGAGTTAGTGTATTTCAGGTGTTACTTTATAGTGAATATTATGGTCATGTTCCCATGGAGGAAATTGTCAGATAAATGGTGTCCGAATGGAGCAGATAAGTGGGAGTAGGTAATATTCACACAAGGCAGTCATACCTGTCTGTTTGCTAAGATCCCTAGAAGTGAATCAACGCCTTTCACTAGGCACCGGGAATAACAGTTTGCACGTAACAAAGAAAAATAATTCTTGGCATGTTACTGGGGCTTTACGTGGGCGAACTACTCATTGTCTGATGAGACGGGAACACATGGCAAGGAGGAACTCGCTCAGGCTAGCGCTAACTTTTGGATTTCAGCATATCCTACCAAGAAATACAGTTACCTGGCAAGGCGTCTGTTACAAAGGTGTATGTTGTTTCGACTTCTAGCCGAAACGAACGAAACGCACTTAACCCAACGCAAAAAGTAATCAAGCGAATTCAGATCGGTATGTCCTAAGGAACCTGGTCGTCAGATGTTGTACACGCAAGATGAGACGGAATACGAAATACATGATCTCGCTTGACGGCACCGATAACCAGAGAAGAAAGAATGAGCGATAGCAACAGTTTGTTTGCTGATCCAGGCAAAGACAAGACATGCCTTCTGAATAGTTTGAGTCGACACCTGACGATAGTATTACTGAGGCGAGATCTACGCAGTGATTTCGCGGAACTATGCGAACTCCACAACACCGTAATAAGTCTTCCGTCATGTAGGCAGGTTGCACGCGCAAAACATACGTAAAACCCTCACGTCTCCGGACATAGGTTCTGCCCCGTAAGCATCAAACCGCAGTCCAATGTATCGTGTGCTGTGCCATTTATGTGGAATTATGATTACTTCTGCACAAAACGATCTATGCCAATTGAGAACACTTGTTGTCCCAGGGTGAGAAAGCTACCTATGGTTATGATCTCAAAGGTCGCCCTGATTAGTTGATAAGAAGACGGCCTTCAAGTACCCGTTTATTCGCCGGAAAAGACAGGGCGATTACATGGCTCAGGCTAGTGGTACTTATATGGTGTGATTGATGTTCTTTGTTCTCCCGCATTCTTTACTTACCAATAATAGTAACAGATAGTTCAGGAACGCTCACAAGATCAACTGATGAGATTTGCTTGCGAATTTCTATGTTAGGGATCCGAGTTTAGGGATGTGTCGTCCTGTCCGATATCTCAAGTGGTCCTCCTACTAATACCTTTTACTGCAAGTACTCTGCGTAGTACTAGAACAACATTGAAACAACATGAAAGCACTTACCAATCGTCGCTGCATAGACGTGCAAGAAGCAGGATTAGAGGAAGTTTACACAGGCGCCTTCGTAGCCCGGTTGTTTGGAATGAAGATGAAAAGTATTTATACGACAAAAATGACTACAATTACGGGAGAGAAACAATCTCAAACTAGGATGGAGAAGATAATAATCAGGGAAACATTGTTTTCCGTCGGCACTTTCTACTGTGACTCGGTGCAGCTAGATAGCGGAATCAAGTGAAGCAAGCATTCATCAGGGATAGCGAATCAGATGATAAGCACTGTACACTGCAAGATGATCTCTATGCAGACACACCTAGCATACAAAACGGTGACAATACCGCCCAGGGACCAGGTGTCGGTGGAGTAGTCCAAGTCTCTGTCTTGTAATCCACAAGTTACTGCTTTAAGCCTGCGTAGACGCAAGTGGCCTGGCAGTATTCCCAGAATGCAGGTAACCTCCATTGGTCGCTTGGCAGCGAGTATCGTTGTGAAGTCTCGGCATATTGCTGATAGATTCTCCTTCATTGCAGAAACGGTGCTGAAAAAGCTGCAATAATTGATTACACACAGCTCTCCTGGAGAGGATAACATCCACGCAAACGCACTGCAGGTTGCAGCGATGCACATAGCCGAGCCAATTGCTGGATTCTTTAAGCGTTGTCTAGAGGAGAACATAGTTGTGTCAAGGTGAAATGCGGTATTAGCACCCCTATTCGCAAGGGATGAAGTCGCTCTGAGCGTGCTAGTCACCACCCGATAACGTTACTACCTGCGCTCGCCGAGGTCATGACAGCCATCATTGCAGACGCACTGGTGGGCTACTTGGAAAGCTATGGCCTCACCGCGCCAAAGTAACACGGGTTTCGTCAACATCAATCAGGTACTACGAATTTGCTGATAGCACGCGACAACTAGATCGGACAGATGTTATCTACTTGGACTTCTAGAAAGGGTTCGGTCACTTGTGTCCTCTCTCGTGCATTACAAGCTGCAGCGCGGTGGTATCGGAGAACAAGTATTAGGATGGATCGTTAACTTTCGCCGTGAACGGCAATTGGACGTTTGAGTCAGAACAACTTTGTTCGATCCGCTTCAAGTGTAGTGCGGCGCACCACGGGGTCCGGTACTTCGGCTTGCCTGTTTTATTTTTTCATTCGCTATGTAACGAGAATTATCCCCTTGAAAGTTTACTCTCTGAAGACGATGTAAGGGTTTTGTGGGTCATCAGGGGAATGGACGACCAAGGAATCCTTCAGCTCGAC